GGTACTGAAGGGATGAGCAGCGCTTGTTGTGCCCCCCCCAGCATTGCCCCCACCAGCCCCAGCCTCCCCCCACCCCCAGTCCCGCCCAGAGCAGTTCCCAGACAACCTGGAGACCCCCGAGGGTGAGTGGGGCGGGGGTCTGAATGGGGGAGACTGGTGGTGGGCGGGGCTTAACTGTTTTGTGGGCGTGGCTTGCCTCAAGGGGCGTGGCCAATGCTGCGATATGAGTTGGTGTCAGTCCGGTGGGCGGGGTTTAGTGGTGTGGGTGGAGCCTAACCTCCAATGTGGGTGGGGCCAAACGCGAGGGGCGGGGCTTCTGCTGCTTCCAATGGAGTGAATGAATTCTGGGAATGAATGAACGACGCTTTGTTTGGAAGAATGAATGGATGAAAGTATTTCTGGGTGGGAGGGGCTTAATGCTATGGGCGGGGCCTGCTCTATAGGGGGCGTGTCCAGCCCATCAGGTGGGCGTGTCCAAAGTGAAAGGGGCGGGGCTTCCACTGCCCCCAGCCCTACAATTGAATGAATGAATGAACAGTGAATGAATGAAACCTTTGATGAACGAGTGAAACCTTTGATGAATTAATGACCAAGTGGAAGGTTGGGCTGGGGGTGGGGCCTGCTCTAAAGGGGGCGTGGCCATCCCCCATGTGGGCGTGGCCAGACTCGGTGGGTGGAGCCTCCACCCCCACGCAGTGGGCAGGCTGAAGCCCCTCTCTCATTTCGTGTGTCCTGTTGGATGTGTGTTGAAGGAAGGGGGGGGGGTCTCACGTATCCCCCTCCTTCGACCTTCCTCCCCCCCCTCCTTTCACCTCCCCCTCCCCATTAGGTGCAGCGTGGACGGGGCCGGGTGTGGGGCCGTCCAACGAAGCGCTGCTGTTCCATGAGAAGTGTGGGGCCCTCATCAAACTGAGCAATGGACACAAGACAGCCGAGCGCCGGCGCCCGCTCGATGAGTTCAACAACGGCGTGGTGCTGACCAACAGGCCTCTGCGTGATGGGGAGATGTTTGAGGTAGGCTTTGAGGGGAGTCCTGGGGCTTTTAGGAGGGAATTTGAAGTCCTAGGGAACGACTGGAAGGGATTCTAGGGGTCCTGGTGGGTATTTGGGGTGACCTAAATGGTGACTGGGGGGTCCTGGAGGGCATTTAGGGGATTTTGGAGGGAATTGAGGGGCATCTGGGAGGTCCTAGAGAAGAACTTGGGGGATCCAAGAGGGATCTTGGAAGTCCTGAAAGGTATATACTTAAAAAGGGAGGTCGTGAAGGGTATTTAGGGGGTGCTGGAGAGAGATTAGGGGATCCTAGGGGGGATTGAGGGGCATTAGGAGGCCCAGGGGGGGAATTAGGAAAATGTTATGGGTGTCCTGGAGACCCTTCAGGATGTCCTGGGGGGGGATTTGGGAGCCTTACAGAGCAACTGGGAGGATTGTGGAGTCCTGGAGGGCGTCTCTGGGGTCGAGGGGGGAATTGGGAGTCCTAGGGAATAACTGGGGGGGTCCTGGAGGGTATTTGGGGGGGTCCTAGGGGGAATTGAGGGGCATCAAGAGGTCCTGGAGAGTAATTAGAGAGATCCTAAGAGTGTCCTGGAGGTCCTGAAGAGCATTTAGGGGGTTCTGAATGGTAACTCGGGGGTCCTGGTGGTCCTGGAGAGTGTTTACAGGATCCTAGGAGGAACTGAGGGATATTTGGCAGATATTAGAGGGGAACTAGGGGGGGTCCTGGGAGTCCTAGGGAGTTATTGAGGGGTCCTGAATAG